TTATATTAAATAATAATTTAATTATTATTCTGCATAATTTACGATTAAATTTTTATTGTGCAGTTGGTTTTCCATCATATTTTTGATACAATCTTGAACATAGTCTCTGTATTCCAAACATTTTGACAATTACTGTTTTTTCTTTGTTTTAAAAGAACAGCTTGAATTTATAAAATGCTAAATTAATTTAAAATTTGAAGTGTTCTTATTTTTATTATGCAAAACAGCAGTCCATCTAACTGCAGAAAATGTAATACTAAAAATACTTATCAAAAAGATAAAATTGAGTTCTTTGTAAGGAAATATAATTTTCCTTTTATGTTACTTTTGTTTTATTTTTAAGAGATGAGACAGAAAGACCAGGGTACCATGAATCATTGTATGATGCTCTTCAGTCTTTACGAGATAAGGAATTCTCTGCTTTCTATGACAGTCTTAAAGATGCCAGGTAACTGTATGCAAATATTCTGCTGTTAGAATGAGAGACAGAGAGTGCGTCTGTGTTTGTAGTCACAAGTTATGTATGAAAGACTATTACAGGGTATTATGGGCTTAGATAAAGACTTACTCATAGAATAGAATTAATACTTCTCGACTGCAACTTCATTTCTAAGTTTTTTTAAGTTAAATTTGTCTTCTGTGCTTATACAATTTGTGTGCTAATTGAAGATACATTTCCTGTAGTATACGTCCCTTACTTTGTGGTCCTCTTAAGTGGATTTGACTGCTGACTACTCATCTTTAGTTGTGCTGTCACATAGGCTTTGGAGTTTATATATGCTTACCATGTTTTCATTTATTGACAAAATTAATTTTTTGAATTTTAATGGTAATACAAAATAATTCCAAACTGAATAGTTTTGCTGTTTAAATTCTGTTCACTGTATGGAAATTATGTTGTGGATATTTGAAATTACTTGTGGATATAAAAAAAAATAATTTACTATTTCTCTGTTAAATCCATAGAGTGAATGAAGTCGAAGAGCTGTGCAAAGGCAGTCTTGAGTCTGTTTATTCATTATATCCAACTCTTTGCAGACTACAGCTAATTGGAGAGTTGGAAAATATAGGTCTGCTGTTCTCCAGGTATTTTGTAAAACTTGCTTCATACTCCTTTCTCAGTTTTTAGGATTTTTGGTAATCAAGCCTAGCACAAAAATAAAATTACCTCAACAAATTTTAGTCATGAACGTCTCAAACTTCATCTTAAAAATGATAGGGATTTTAGCTTTACTATGTGAAAATAAATCTAGATTCCCTTTATTTCCAGACTAGATTTATTCATGGTCTAGCTTTAATTATTTGATATTATGCCAATATTATATTTTAAATAATTTTTTTTCTTTCCTGTGTTTTGAGTTCCCTGGTATAATCCAAAGTAGCAGTCGTATCTCCTAGCCTTTGGTTTCCTAAAGTAACTGAGTCATCCTCTTCTAGTTTCATTCTAAAAATGTTTTCCATTTCCTTGATGATACTCATAGATCTACTAGAAAGTTGTTTCAGTTTGAATCACTTCATGGACCACTATTATTGTCGGTATTTTACCTGAATTCTTAACTTTGCTTTGTAATCATAGAAAGGTATTTATCTCTGTAGTGCTATTAACATTGATCTTTTTCTGCTATAGTTGTATCAGTTTGGTAGCTTATAGTCATGCTACAGTCATTTAGCATGTCCAGGACCTTATGAACTATTCATATTGGCAGTTAATGAATCACCTAAGAAAATAATACATACAATGACAACCTACACAGCTACAATATCACAGTTTGGAATTTATTCTTATATTAATCCATATAAGACCTATATAGTAAAATAGGAATCTTGGTGCCTAATCTTTTAAGTAGCCCTATGTTTGAACGCGATTCCCTTTGCTGATACACCTTTAACAGCAGTTTTTGATGCTTAATCAAGAATGTTTACAGTGGAGTTGTTCACCTTACTAATGTTGATCTCTTGATCTTTATGCTAGTTAAAACTGGAAACCTGCCAGTTTATTCTGTGTATTAATCATTGTAGGGTTTCTTGGTTTTGACCTGTTGATTGTGAACTACCTCAGTAGATTACTTTTGTTACTAATGTTGCATTTCACTCATTTAGTGAGAATTAATAACAGGTCTTTTTTCTTTTGGTAACAATTGCAGATCTGTTACTACTCAACAACTGAATGATATTTATTTGAAATGGCAGAGACAGTCCCAGCTTCTCAAGGACAGTGACTTCCGTTTCCAGGAACCTGTCATGGCTCTGCGCACTGTAATTTTGGAGATCTTGCTTGAAAAGGAGAATGAAAATACCAAAAGAGAATGTATTAAAGACATCCTGACCAAACATCTAGTGGAGCTCTCTAGATTGGCAAGAACTGCTAAAAACACGCAGGTAATAAATTCCAGGAAAGATCACTGACGGATGTTTAGGTTTTTAGTTTGTAAAAGAACTTCATTTTTTAACAGTACTGAAGATTAACTATTCTAAGTTTATTCAATGAATCAATTAGTTGGAGACTTAAACTATATACAACTTATTCATAAATTGTGTTTATGGGCGTGTTGTCTGAATTTTGTTCATAACTCTAAAAAAGTGAAATTTTTAGTGAAGAATGCCCTTTTAGCTCTGTTACTTTATTTTGGTGCAGTTTTATATATCCAGCTTTCACCTGCATCATACTGTTGTATTGTTCCAGCATAAAGCTGCAGAAAGCTGTATATTTAGTGTTGTCTTCAAGGTTTTATGCTCTCAAAGCACCATTGCACTGTGGTAAATCTCTCTCTGTGAATGACTTAATGGGATTTGTAGTATCAGTGGTTTCTGCAGATGCTAATGCATTTAAGATCCAGAGTCAGCCTTGGCTTTTCTAGGTGGTGCAGAAAATAGTTCCAGCTAAATACATAACCTGGAAAAATGTTTAACACTTCACATATGTGAAACTATATTAAACTTTGATTTCAGGAAGGTTCTGACTCTTTTTGTGAATAATGGTGAAATCAGTAGAACAGCTGTCTTTGATTTCATAAATTTGCAAGATTTACTCAATGCCTCTGGAATTGTTTGGGAAAATTACTTCTTCACAATTTTTTTTATCTCGTGCCTGCCCAGCCACTAACACTGTGGTGATGAGTGTCCTGTAAGAGCCTCAACAGAAGTTAATTTTTTTTCCCATTGATTTTTAATTACAGAATAAGATTAAAATTGGGGCGCCATAATTTGGGAGGATTAGAAGGTTCCGAAAGATTGAGCCAATGTGTTTCTGAAAACACTATCATTCCAGCCTCGTCAGTGTTGTAGGTCATATGCAACCTTTGAGGCACACTTCTGGACCTTATCAGTCTTTCAAACCATGGAATGATAACCCTTTCCTTATGGCACACTAGTTGTTGACCACGCTGTGTCTGGATGGAGGAACACTTTTGAGGAAGGACTCTTTGCAACTACTGGCTTTTCTTCCTCTTTGGTTCTACTACCATCTGTCAGGAGAATCATAACGCTGGCCACTAATTGAAGTACCCAAACTTATGTTGTCATTTACGGGCATTCTTACATTTTAATTGTTTACCTTGCTTATTTAAAAGTTTGATTGATGTGGTTATTGGTTGGACAACATGTGAAAATACACTTTAGTCTCGATTTTTGACATTGTTAAAAAGATAGTTTGCTCTTTGTACTGTTGTGGTGATAGATTAGATTACTAAATGATGAGGATGTTATTTCACCAATGATACGAGTGAAGAGGTAGGCATACAAAAGAATTAGTGTATGGTGGTGCCATTTTTCTTACTATTTTTCTGTAATCTCTTAGGATGTAATAATAATCACTAAGCTAAAATTACAAATCCATTATTTTGTATCATAGTTTAACCCCCAGCGGCAGCTAAGCACCACGCAGCTGCTCACTCACTACCCCCTGCAGTGGGGTGGCAGAGAGAATGGAAGGGGTAAAAGTGAGAAAACTCATGGGTTGAGATAAAGACAGTTTCACAGGTAAAGCAAAAGCCACACATGCAAGGAAAGCAAAACAAGGAATTCATTCACCACTTCCCATGGGCAGGCAGGTGTTCAGCCATCCCCAGGAAAGCAGGGCTCCATCACACACAATGGTTACATGGGAAGACAAACACCATCATTCCGAACATCACCCTTTTCCTTCTTCTTCCCCCAGCTTTATATGCTGAGCATGACATCATATGGTATGGAATATCCCTTTGGTCAGTTGGGGTCAGCTGTCCCGGCTGTGTCCCCTCCCAACTCCTTGTGCACCCCCAGCCTACTCGCTGGTGGGGTGGGATGAGAAGCAGAAAAGCCCTTGGCTCTGTGTAAGCACAGCTCAGCAATAATGAAAACATCTCAGTGTTATCAACACTGTTTTGAGCACAAATCCAAAACGCAGCCCTGTACTAGCTACTGTGAAGAACATTAACTCTATCCTAGTCAAAACCAGCACATTTCAGTAGGTACTGATTGTAGAATTTCTGTACTTTATACCTCCGAGTAATTTAACGTGTTAAACATCGATATGTGGTGGTTTGTGAAGTTTAATTCCATCGTCTGTTTTTGTAGCAAATCAGCATTTTCTGCAAGTATATAGGAAAAGAAATCCATCTCTTTGCTTTAAATAAATTCTTAGCATTGAATAGGCAGAATATGCTGCACAAGTAGAGCAAATGATGGAGTTTAAAAACAAAACTCGCTGTGAGATACATGTATTTGACTTAAAAAATTGTTTATAAAGTTTTTTTCAATTTCAGCTTCCAGAAAGAGCGATGTTTCAGATCAAACAATACAATCCAACAGGATATGGAGTTTCTGAATGGCAACTAGAAGAAGCTCAGGTTTTTTGGGCTAAAAAGGAAGAGAGTCTTGCACTGAATATCCTTAAAAGAATGATTAAAAAATTAGAGGCAGATTGGTTTCAGGTATGTGTTGTATCTTGTATAAACTTATGGGAATTAAATTACTTAAGATCCTGTTTCCACTTTTGGAAGTTTTCCCTTGGAAGAAAATTATAAGGCTGTCTGCAATATTACTAAATCTGTTTTGTACTCTCAAAATGTCTGAAAGAAAAAAATATCTATGAGCGTATCTTATCAGGGGTTTTCAAAGTGAGTCTGTAAGAGCAGCAAATGTTAGAATTCATTATTCATTATTTTGCCTCCAGTCCCACCACTGTGAAATATATAGTTTTTTAATGTCAGAGATTATTTCCCTTCATAAAACATGAACTTGTTTTAAACAAAACTGTTACATAGAGGTGTATCATCTTGTTCTGTGCTAATAGTTGAAGAACCTAATGGCCAAGCAGGATTGTTTAGGCACAGTAATCATAGACTAGTTTAGGTTGGAAAAGACCTTACAGTCCAACCATTAACCTAACACTGCCAAATCCACCACTAAACCATGTCCCAAAGCACCACATCTACACGTCTTTTAAATACCTGCAGGGGTGGTGACTCAACCACTTCCCTGGGCAGGCTGTTTCCATGCTTGGCAATCCTTTTGGTGAAGAAATTTATCCTAATACCCAATCTCAACCTTCCCTGGCACAACTTGAGGCCATTTCCTCTTGTCCTATGACTTGTTGCTTGGGAGAAGAGACCAACACCCACCTCACTACAACCTCCTTTCAGGTAGTTGTAGAGAGCAATAAGGTCTCCCTTGAGCCTCCTTTTCTTCAGACTAAACAACCTCAGTTCCCTCAGCCGCTCCTCGTAAGACTCATTGGAATAGGCTGAATCAGACAGATCTTCCTTTGCTTGTTGAGATCTTCAAGACGTTCAGTTGAATTGGGAAATGGGATGCATCTGAGGATGCTAGGAGAGTTTGCTGACATGTCAAAGCCACTTTTGTATCATCTCTGAAAGGTCATGAAGATCAGGAGAAGTCCTGATGACTGGACGAGGACAATCACATGTATCTACAAAAAGGGTAAAAAACAAGATCAGAAACTACAGAGCAGTCAGACTCATTTCAGTCCCTGGGAAAATTACAGAATGGGTCTTTAGGGAAGCTGTTCCTGTGCACATGAAGGCAAAGAAAGTGGTTGGGAAAAGCCAGCAGAAATACACTGTTGTGCTTGACCAACCTGATTGTCTTGGGCGATGAAAGAGTTTGCCCAGTAGACATGGGACAAGCTGTGGATGTCATCTACCTTGATTTTACAAAGGCATTTGACACAGTCTTCCACAATATCCTTCCTGACAAGCTGGTAAGATAGCTAAGACCACAAGATAGGTGGAAAACTGGCTAAACTGCTGAGCTCAAAGGGTGGTTGTTGATGATTCAAAGGCAGCCTGGTAGCCAGTCAGAAATAGAATTCCTTAGAGTTTATTAGGGGGTTGGTACTGTTTTTATGACTGAGATCTGTATGACAGGACTGAATTTCCTCACCAAATTTGCAGATAACAGCAAACTGGAAAGATAGAGATACATTCTGGAAGGAAGAGCCACCAGTCACAGAGACCTCAATAGTTTGGAAGAGTGTGCCAATAGGAATTGCATGAGATCAGTGGGAAGTCCTTCACCTGGGACAGAATAATCTCAAGCAGCATTACAGGGAGGGATCTGACTGACTGGAGTGTAGTTTTGCCAAAAAGGATCTGGGAGTCCCAGTGAACAGCAAGCTAAAATGATTCAACAGTATGCCCTTGTAGCAATGAATGTGAACCGTGTCATGGGCTGCATCACCAGGAGTGTAGCCAGTAGATAAAGAAGTGTGACTGTTCTACTCTGTTTGGCTCCTCTTAGCCCATACCTGAAATAATGTGTCCAGTTTTGGTTCACCATTCAAGGGAGACATTGAAAAATTGGAGAGAGTCCAGCAGAGGGCCACCACAATGATTAGAGGGTCAGAGAACTTGGCAAGGGAATGAAGGTTGTAGGTACTGGGTTTTTTCAGCCTTAAGAAGTGAAGGCTTAGGGGGATCTAGTCACAGTCTTCCGATACCTGAAAGGTAGTTACAGTGAAGATGGAGGTAACTCTGCTTACAGAGATTTGTTTCAAGAGAAATGCCATATGGATACAGGAAGAAAATTCTTTACCACTACACAGTGTGAACAGTTTGCCCAAAGAAGTGGTGGCATCTCCCTTGCTGGAAATGAATAGTCGAGACTCAGTTTAGGAGAGTCCTGGAAAACTTAATCCTAAAGCCCTGCTTTCAACAGAAGGTTGGGCCAAATGGTCTCCAGAGTATCCTTCCAGCCTCGACTTTTCTGTCATTCTGTGATATGCTTTTACAAAAGCTATTCTGTCTTTTCTTCATAGTAATCCATCTGTTCTCTGTGTGGGTTTTTTTTTTATTTGGTTAGTTGTTGGTTATTGGTTTTTGGTTTTTTTGCTAATTTGTCCACTTCTGGTAAGAGTCGTACTGATCTGTGCTTCCCTGGAACTTCTTAAAATATTGGTGTCACATCTGCCACCTGCCACTTCTCTTATATTAAGGCAATTTTAAGCAAAAGCTTTTATATATCTTTTAGTAGTGCAGTTATTTCATCTGTGAATTGCTGTAGACCTTTTGGAAAAATAGATTTTGATCCTGGTGAGTTGATAGTTTCCATTTTTAGCTGTTTGTTCGGTAGCCTTTGCTGTTGACACTTCAGTAGCAGACAGACCTTTGAATCCCTCATAAAGAAAGGCTTTGCAGTGGGACTCTTCAAGCTCCTCCACAGTGAATAACTTAATTTTTTTTTTCTGCTTTATATTCTCAGAGCGTTATTTATTTGATAAATCTATTGTCTTTTTATCAAGTGGACTGTCTGGTGGCTAGCTGCTGCTAATATGTTTAAAAAATGCTTTTTTATTATTTCTTGAGTCTTCTTCAACTTGTTTGGGTTTTTTGGACAGCCTGATGGTGAGGTTTTATTTTTTTAATTTGACAGGATATTTTATGATTTCTTTAATACCTTTTCTTTTTCACTTGGACAAAGCTTCATTTTGTGTACTGATGTGGTCAAAAAGTCTTCATAGTCTTTACCTTTGTGTTTAGCTATGATGGCTTTCTTCGAGTATTTTTTGGAGGGTAATAAACATTCTCTTTGAATCCATATACATTATTAAGGAATATCCCACTTCCGAAAAGCTGGAGAATTTTGGGCCGAGTTCTCCATATATATCAGGACAAAATCAAGAGTTGCTGCTCCTCTTTAGATTTTCATGATTGCTCCGTGAATCAGTTGATGAAGGTCTCCAAAAATCTAGTCCTTCTCTCACCTTCCAGTATTAACGTTTACCCTGTCCACATAAGGAGGTTTTGTGTTTTCGCAGCCTATGATACCTTTCAGTATTTCACAGGCAGCGCTGCCATCTTGGTCAGGTGGTCTTTCATATGTACCCTATTCTAAAAGTATTTTGGAAACTTGTCCTGCTATACAGTTAAAGCTGAGCTTCCAGTCTGGAGGCAAGTCCTTTGGAAACCTGCTCCATCCTCTTCTCAGAGCACTTTTAACCAAGTTTCCATGTAGAGGTCTGTCTGAAAAATTTAATGATCACACATAGTTATCCTAATTCCTGAATGTTTTCTACAGAGTGTACTATGGTGCTTCAGACTAAATGGGGATATTAGAAAATACAGTTTTGGAAACATGCTGTGAATTTATTTCATTTTTATTACATTTTGTCATTGTTTTATTCTGGTTTTCATTGTTCAAACTGTCAGGTATTTGAAAATATGTGCTCTCCTTTAGTCTAACTTAGAATGTGAACGGGATTTAAAGTTACTGACTACTGTAGATGTGGATGGGAAATCTGTAGATACATTATGTGTAATAGGCCTGAGTGACTGAATTATATTTAGGGTTTAAAAGCTTTATAAATGGCCTACTTCATATGTAAAAGGTATTTTTATTTGATGCATCCCTCTTTTTTTCTTTTGTCCCAAAACTTGCTTTCTCAAAGGTTGAGAATGATCCCCATCTGAAATTGATGTACACAGAGTGTCTGAGGCTGTGCGGAACCTGGTTAGCGGAAACATGCTTGGAAAACCCTACAGTTATCATGCAGAAGTACTTGGAAAAGGTGCATCCAGTCTTTGAGATAATGCTGTGCTAAAATATGGTGTTAAAATCTCAAGTAAACTTTTCAATGTAGCCTTTATTTTTCTGGATTGAAAATATGGTTTCTTATAAAAATATTATAGTTTTACATAGTATCATATAACACTGTAATCTTATAAAATATTCAGAATGTGGCCTTATAGAATTCACAGTAAAACTTCTGTGTAACATTGGCTTAGAAGTGTAGTAATTACAACTGCTAGTCCAGTTTGCCTTTCCTCTTCCACTCCATCCCCATCCTTTCCTTCTCGGGACAGATCATTCACTTACCATGTTTTCAGTATGGGCATTGGATTTGTAACATTCTCTTTCCAGGTGCTGGAAAGTCTTGTTCTAGTGTTTCAAAGTACTATAATTTTTTTTAACTCTTAGTAGTAGAAACATTTTTATTAATATTTGTCCGCTCTGCATTTCTTTATTTCATGCTAATTTGTGAAACTACATAGTTGCTTTTCTCTGTTACTCTTTGCATGCTTTCTTCACTCTGATGATTTGAATCAATGACTTTCACATATAATTTCTTTTTGGCACTTTTTGGACTGTCTTCTACTTTTTTCTCACCATCTTATGATATAAGGTTGTAAAACCATTGTAAAACCTCATGCCTAGTTACTCAGGAAGATAGATAACTGTAGGAGACTCCTGTATGGTTATTAAAGCTGTTTCATACAGGATAATCTTTTTGACTGTTTGCACTGAAAACTCCACAAAGATTAAATTCACTTAGGAGAAAAATATTCAGCCTGGTAGGTTTTATTTTGTGTGCATATATATTCCATCACAGGCAGCATTAAATAACCTGTTTGAGCAGATGACCCTGCTTGAGCAGGTGGGTTGGACAAGATGACCTCCACAGGTCCCTTCCAACCTCAACCATTCTGTTTCTCTGTGATGATAGAGTTTAATCAAGTATTATGCAGCACTATTTAGTCTGATTATCAGTCTTACCATGATTATAACTTCCCTTTTAGGCTGTGGAAATTGCTGCAGGCCACAGTGGAGACAGCAGTGGTGAGCTGAAGAAAGGAAAGATGAAGGCGTTCCTGTCTTTGGCTCGTTTCTCAGATAATCAGTACCAGCGAATTGAGAATTACATGAAATCCTCAGAGTTTGAAAATAAGCAGGCATTACTGAAGAAGGCCAAGGAGGAGGTCGGCCTCCTCAGGGAGTGTAAAGTTCAGACAAATAGGTGAGCATTGAAACGGAGAGGTGGTTACTATGCAGCTATCAAAGGCTCCATTTTTGCTAGTTCTTTGGGCAAGTGGTACAGCATAGGTCACATCTCTACAGCTGAATTTTTCCTTCTCCACAAAACAGTGGCCAAATCTGTAGTGCTTGTTGTGAATAGTTTCTGAACTGTGCCTGAACATCGTCTAGGAGAGTGCTAGATAGCATGGGCCAAAACTAAGCCAAGGAGTATTAGAACAGTTAAATAGTATGGACGATCATGGGCCAGAATTCACATTTATTCCCTGGATCTGTTCAGTTTATTTGACAGAGAAAACGTTAGAGAGTAAAAGTAAGTTTGAGATTTTTTTCTCTATTCCACATTTAGTGAAAGAGTAGAATTCATCTTAATGCAGAATTCTTAAATATTTAGTAAGACCAATTGCAAGTGAGCAGATAAATTTTAACTAGAGCTGTTGAAAACTGAAGTCTTTACACAAATGATCTGTACTGGATATTCACATTTACACCAATATTGAGATTGAAATCATTAACAAGAAAAAAGACACTGACTTAAAATTTACTTAGAGTGGTGGGTCTATGTGGACATACACCAAAGGAATAGCTTGCACAGTTTGGTTTCTCAGTGTTTATTTTACTGTGCTTGTATATACAAAACAAGTTAAAAATGTTAAATTAGGAAGTAAGAGAACTAGAGACGGCCTTGCTGTAAGTTCATTAAGAGATAATTTGTTGTTTAATGTCTATTCACACAGATATACAGTGAAGGTTCAGCGAGAACTTGAACTGGATGAGTGTGCCATACGTGCCCTAACTGAAGATCGTACACGTTTCTTGTGTAAAGCAGTGGAGAACTATATCAGCTGTTTAGTAAGTGGAGAAGAACATGATATGTGGATCTTCCGACTCTGTTCCCTATGGCTTGAAAATTCTGGAGTTGATAGAGTCAATGAAATGATGAAGGTACATGTCTGCTACTGCTTTTTCTTATGCTTTGACATTAAATTCTCCATCTTCTCCTTCTCCTCCTATGTTTCTAGAAGATGAATTCTAGTGCTGTGCAGTATGCTTTCCTATGTATCTCCTTAACTTTTCCCTCAAAACTTGCTTTTTTTCAGTCATCGTTGCTCATCAGTTAGTTTTTCATCAGTGAGAACTGTAATTCTTAATGCATTTTAATTTAACTTAATTTAGCATTTTTATTTGACAAGTCTCTGCGATTAAGCATATCTCATGCTCTTTCACTGTTGCCACCTTGTTCTTTACATACCTTGAATACTACCCATCTTCAGCATCCTTTAGTACGTTATTCTAGTTTATGTTACATATACTTTTAGGTAAAAGGACGTGCTTTTAGATTATCTGTATAACACAGTAGCCAGGGACCAGTGAAGTTGTCATTCTCAGGAGGGTTCTATCATTTCTAGAATCCTGCAGGAAATCTGTTCATTCTTACCTGAATGATCTGTTTATAAGAGACATATGTATAATTTAATTCTTCATTTTGTATTATAATTAATTTTGAAAAATAGAAAGTGTTCCTTTACTCATATTTTTAACACACAATCTTGTTTTAAACTAGATTGTATATTTTTTTCCGATTAGGATTGTTTCTTGCCACAAAGAATGTAGAAATTAATTCTGAATCAATATATCTAAGCCCTGTCCTAATAGAATAGAAAATAGTAGTTTTCTTTTGAATGCTACAAGTCCGTCATGAGACATGGACCGTGATTATGTCATACTCACTGGATTGCCATTTGATCACACAGCAAAGATTACTCTCAGTTAAAAAATAAAATGCAAACCCCAAATTGCTAGCCCTTTCCTTATTTGGTCTTTATTATTACCTTTTTTTTTCTTTTTTTTTTTTTTTAGTGTTTAGTACAGCTTTCTAACTGAATTTTCTCTACTACAGAAAAATGCAGAGAAGATCCCATCATACAAGTTTTTGCCTCTGATGTACCAGCTGGCTGCTCGGATGGGAACCAAGATGATGGGTGGCTTAGGATTTCATGAAGTTCTGAATAACGTAATTTATGCTTTTCGTATCTAAAGATATCTTGATTGGCTTGGCAGTGCATAGTTGTAAACAATATCTATCTTTGTGCAGTCATAGCTAAATGAGTTATGTAGGTCATAAAAGTGTATTCAAAATGAGTGATGCAAAATCAATAGGGGGGAGGAGGGGAGAGAGAAAGGATTGGGGATTTTTTTCCTTGCTACGTAATTGATTTTCTTGTTGTATAAGAATAGTCTTATGCAGGTATAGGAATATACTTTGAATGTATTATAGTTGTGGAAATACCATCTAAGTATTACATTTTATTTCTCATTGGGAGCCTTAGAAGCTCAAAAGAATTAATAATGTTAATTAAATTCTTTTCTTCTGTACAGTTTTCAATAATGGGATCTTCTTGTTTTTCTTGACAGCTAATGTCTAGAATTTCACTGGATCATCCACATCATACTTTGTTTATAATACTAGCTTTGGCAAATGCTAACAAAGATGAACTCCTCACAAAACCAGACACAATGAGAAGAAATAAGTTAATTAAAAATGCACCGAAAGAAATCTCCCAGCTTGATGTGGTGACTACAAAAAATTCTATTCTATTAATCACATTCAGTCCTTTCATTTTGTTAAAAAATGAAAAAAATTATCTCAAGGGGTATTTTAGTGTAGAGTTCATTAGCTGACTTTTGTTGAGAAAGAGTAGGAGGTAAAAAGTACTTTTAATAATTAAAAAAATTCCTTTTGTGCATACAGTGGTAATTACTATTGAAATAAGTAATTATGGGGTGGAACAAAACATGGTTAACATTACCTGCAACAAATAGCCCCAATTATTGTGAAGAGTTTTGTGATAAATGCCCTTGATGTGTGATTCTGTAAAAGGCATTTTAGATGCAACAAAGACTTGAGTGGGTCTGTTGTTAAAAGTACATACTTAATTGAGGATTTTTTCTGCTTTGGGTGATAACATTTGTTCTAAAGGTTTATCTTTGTGAGGTATAACTTTTGTTTCTTTCTATGATTTTAATACGTTAAAAGCCATGATGATGGGTAATACTGAACTGTGGCTTCATGTTGTTATTACTTAATTTTTCTTGGAACCTGTCTTTGGAATCATGTCATATCTAGATTAATGTCCCTTCTTTCCCCCATCACTTGACATGGTTGTTTCTCATTACCCTCTTATCCCCACACTGATAGAATTTTTCACCACATTTTTATGTGGCTTTTGCTTTTCTCTCAGATTTGTAGTTCTTTTGTTGTCCCGCCCCTAGGAGTAGGATTATGCTAAACTCAACTAAGTGTTTCGGCATGAGGATAGAAGGAACTGTTCAGATTTTTGCCTTTTGCATACAGGCTTTTCCTTCAGCTGGGAGGAAATAACGGAAACAGGAAGATTGTGGAAGAACACCCAAAACTGCCTGTCCCTTTTTCTGAAGAATTTTTGCAGGTTTATTGCATTTTGCTTGGACAGATTTGCTCCATCCCCAATAATATTTTACCTTACTCATTATCTCAGATTAGACAACACAGAATTTTTCTTCACATTATTTCTATTCATATCACAAAGGTCTGTCCATTATTGCAATTTTCTCTGTTTTTCTAGGATGTATCTCATTTGTACTGATTTCACTGCGTGTTATGATGAATCTTTAATCTTATATGGTGTAGTTTGAAAGATCTGATATTTGTATTACATTGGAGTTTTTTAGGACAGAATGGAGGCTGCTAGCAATATAATCAATATTGTAAGAAAAAGGAGAGCTCATATGGTTAGAAACCTTGAAGCACTTTGTGATGCTTACATCACATTAGCAAATGTAGATGCTACTCCATGGAAATCTCAAAGAAGTAAGTCTTGGAAAAAATATTTTTGTTTTTAATAGTGAAGATATATTTTATGTTCTTGGATTAAAAATTGTATTTCTAAATACTGATATTTAGTTAAAGGAGATGCTGTGTTAGCAATGTGTCCTGTTTTTGATAAATGTAGAACTTAGTCTGGATTAAAAGTCATAGTAATTACTTGGCACAGTAAGGTTCAGACTTTCTGAGTATGAAACTCCAGAAAATTCCAGTTGTCCTGTGGTCATCTTCATCATCTCAACAGAAGCATGCAGTGAGCTTTTGGGTCCCAAAAGCAATGTAAACTTTTTTTTTTTGTGAACTTTGATATATGTTTATAGTTCTGAATTTAAAAATATGAATTTATTTTAATTACAGAAGGAATAAGTATTCCAGCTGACCAGCCAATTCTTAAACTGAAGAACTTGGAGAATGTTGTTGTTCCTACCATGGAAATTAAGGTGACTGAAGTGGAAATAAATACACACTGTAATATAAAATCTTAGAATCGACTTCAAATGTTTATAATGGCAGTCAAGGCATATATCTCTTCATCAAATTCCCATGCTCTTTACAGGTCAGCCTACCAGGGGTGCTTTCCTGTCACGTGGGAGGTGCAGAATGAGATGGTCTCCTTAGGCTCTAGAAGACCTTGACCCCAAGCCTTCTATTTGCTGGGTAGTGGCATACTGTGTGAAGATGGCTTTGCCACTTCTACTGCTACCACTAACTAGTCTTTCATTATCAAAAGTAACGAGCTCCCTAAATCACAGAGAGGATTTGGGAATCTGAATCTTTTATTTTGTAGGTGCTAGCTCAGAGTTTCAGGGAGGCACTTAAGGTCCAGAAAGGTGTGAGAATTACTAGATGTGCCTCTTCTGCTGTTCCTAAATGGCTGTTTTTACGATTCAGTAATGGTGAATGATCCATTGCCATTAGTGTAAGTGGTTGATTGGATGGGTGCATAGGTATTCATTCTTAGATGCCACACGCTCTACCTAGGAAACTTACCCATTTCAGGAGTGTAAAGTTGCTTTTTGAGCCAGCCACCTAAAACTTAAGTGTTATGAAGCCAAAGTTCCTTGTGTTGAAGTCCCTCAGGCTATGTCTGTAAAGCCAAATAAAACAAGCTGAGGGACTGTTTTATGCCATTTGACATCAGTGGCCAGAAATTGCCACCCATGCTAAATAGCATTTGTTCGTAGGGCTCCTCTTGGCCCCAGGTGTTGCTCCTTTGTACGACTCGACTGTGCTTTGCTTTGCTTTTCTTCTTCCCCAGTACAAAGCATCTGAAATGGTTGGAGGTCTGTGATGTAAGCAGTTGGAGCGGTATTTCCTTACAGCTGACTGAGCAGGGTTTATGGCATGAGGATCCTGTAGACTGCAACAGTAGGATTGTAGATTGGGTCCATTTGCAGCCTAATGTGAGCCTAATGCTCCCCAACTCGGTATGAACATTTTCTTGGGAGAATGCTAGTTGAGAGAGGCTGAAATTGTGTCAGAGCTTGTTTGGTGGAAGTCTGCAGCACCACATCCCCTCTACCAGTGAGGTGAACAAGGAGGAATCAAACCCACTCCATTGCTCAGCATATTTTTGTAGCTTTTGTGGGTATATCCTTGCAGATGACAGAATGCTCATGAATATTTAGCATATAGTCTGCTAATGAGGTTTGCAAACAACTCATTACCACTTTCTCCATTAATATTTGTATTAATTTTAAACTAGTTTATAATTTCAGGTGGATCCCACAGGAAGATACGAAAATTTGGTGACAATAAGGTCTTTTAAGCCAGAATTTCGGTTAGCAGGAGGCGTGAATCTGCCTAAAATAATAGATTGTGTAGGATCAGATGGTAAAGAAAGGAGGCAGCTGGTCAAGGTAGGTTCTGTCAGTTGTAATGACATCTCAGAGATCTGGCATGTTGGCATTTTTTTTAAGTTCAGTGTCAGTTTTCTCAGTTCACGGATGCTTTAATAAAGGAAATTAAAAAGTAATAAGTATAATAACATAATATAAACAATAATATAATAATATGTAGTAATATTAAGTATTTTTGTAATTACTTTTCAACAATACATGCAATATACGATAGCTTACCTGACAGCTACCAGACCTGCTGACTTGTGTGATCATGTCTCAACTAGTGACCAGGAGTGTACAGCAAATAAAAGCCATCATCATTTTGTGTTAATTACCTCCTTTTTTCTTTCTTCCCCATATAAAAAGAATTACAATTCAGAGACAATCAAAAACATGCACATAGACACACAAATCTTAAAAAAAAAAAATTTTTCTTTAAGCTCAATTGCTTTCATTCTCTCTTTGAAAGTAAACATTCAGCAGCTGCTGGGAGAACTCGGTTTTGCTGTTAAGTATGGAGTAGTTTTGAAAGTTTTCAAGAGAAGTGTGAATCACTAGATCTGCATCCAGTATTCAGAACTGCAGTACCAACTGATGCTGCTTCAGCTGTGTGCTGGGTTGCTAAATACAATGAATGAAACATCTAGTTTAAAAAAGGGTACCATAAAGTACGTAGGTTGATTGAAACCTTAGTCACATAACATTTGTCAAAAAGAAAAAGGGGATGATGTAAGTTAATGATGGCTGTGCTTAAGTAGCTGCGCGCTATTAGAAAACCAAATACAGAGGAAAAAAACAATGGTTAATTATATTTTATTAGAAGTGATTATTGTGGAAAAGTAATTTGTGTTTTGTGGACTTTTTAAAATAATGTTTTTAAATTGTCAAAGAAGAAATTGGATGCTGAAAAAAGTGCTCTTGAACTGCTTTTTCTGTTTATGCTAAAGGGGCGTGATGACCTGAGACAAGATGCTGTTATGCAACAGGTTTTCCAGATGTGCAACACATTGCTCCAGCAAAACACTGAAACACGGAAGAGAAAATTAACTATCCGGAGATACAAGGTAACCCTGAACTGCTGCTGCAGCAGAAGAATAAATGTTACCAGCGAAGTCTATTTCCCCATTCTCTTCTTTTTATCCCAAAGGCAATATAAAAGTTTATTTGTGTGTGTGTTATTAAAATAGTCCTGCTCCTTAAGGTATGGAGTAAAGAATTAATACAATTTAATGATTACAATTACAGCAATTATTACAATTCCATTTTTTCTAAATCCTTAAAAAAATTCTGATGTCCAATGTATATTTAAATACTCTTCAAAGCTTTCTTTATATGAACTTATAATTGAAAAGAAGTTAAGTCATGCACTGTCCTTGAATTGTAAGTTGGTAGTTATTAAACTTGAGCATACGAGTTTGTTTATAATTTCTCATTAATTTCAGTCTTGCAATATTCCTTATTTAATTAATACTTAATTTTAGTCTTGCAGTATTCCTTACAATTGAATCCAGAAGTCCCATCTAGGGTCTGTTCATGCAGAATTTGAATTGCAGAACTGTTTTTGTTGGAATCAGGAATACAGGAATAAATTATTATTGTGAACGCAGAAAATGTATTTGAACAGGAAGTTTCCCCTCCTTCTTCCTTTTTATGCACTTGGGTTTATAATAATAACTGTGAAGGTGACCTCTGAATAAGTACCCTCTAGGTAAAAGTTCTTGTCTGTGACAAATGAGAAGTGTGTGCTCCAGAATCTCTAAAGGAGATAATCTGAATTGCTAGCATAGTTTTTAGAATTCACAGGTGGAGTTGAGTCACATTTTTTTGAATAATTTTTGGTGACGACTGAGGTTTTTATATGTGTAAAAGCAAATGAGAGTAGGGAAAAAAGAGAATGGGGGTTGCACTATGAGATAAAAAGACTTTCATAAGAAAAGAAAATTGAAGGAAACAGGCAGTAGCTATTTCTCTGAGGACAGGAGATCGTTCATTCTGGCCAGTTCTGTTTGCTCCAGCAATTGAGGTAACTGTTACAGCCAGTTATGAAGTGAGAAACTCTTCCCTAGGGTGGGAAGCAGACTAAGACAAGCCTTATATGTTCATGCAGCTACCACGTGTTTGTTCCAGATTTTACTTTTTACATGCAATTTGCACAGTGCTTGTACTATCCCATTAAAGCATAATAAGCTGTTCGCAATCATAAGTCATCTAGAATACCGATGCAAACATGCAAATTGAGTAGAATCATTAAGTTGTACTGAAGTATGTAGTAGAAGGTTCTCTGGGCTAGGAAAAAAATTGCAAGTATTTGCTAGGAAAACCTTGAGTGTGTTTTCTGTATGTATACATGTGTATTTAAAACATAGATTGTGGTCAGCTGTATGGTTTGGTTTTTTGTCTTTTTAAACGAACACAAATATCCACCCATGCCCTGTAGCAGGCATACTATAGCTGTGTACAAACCCTGCCCCGTGCAACAGTGGGTTTGTTTTTACAGGTGGTTCCCCTTTCCCAGAGAAGCGGCGTTCTTGAGTGGTGCTCGGGAACAACTCCCATTGGGGAGTTTCTTGTGAACATCGAAGACGGAGCTCACAAGAGATACAGGCCAAAGGATTACTCCAGCTATCAGTGTCAGAAAATAATGTCGGTGAGTCAAAATAACTCGGGGGG